ACTCTGAGGTCCTCTTAACTTTTACAGAGTTCTCTTCAATAAGGACTCTTTGATATCTGTCTTTAAGATATGATTTCATTAACAAGTTAGCACTTCCAGTAATCCCATAAAATTCTAATTTCTTCAATAATATATCGTGATTAACACTGTCGAATGCCTTTTCTAAATCACAGAATATACCTCCCACCACAGACTTGCTGTTCCATGCTTGTAGAATGTACTTTAATAAAGTAAATATGGCTTTCTGAGTGGAGGAATTACTTCTAAACCCAAATTGATCTGTAGATAATATATTATTATTAACGACATGTTCTAATAATCTTGCTAGTATAACTTTCTCAAATATTTTTGAGAAGGATGTCAATAGTGAAATTGGTCTATAGTTCTTAATATCTTTTTTATCACCCTTCTTATAAATTGGTTTTATTATGGAATATTTCAATCGAGATGGAAATTTACCTGATAAGATTACTCTGTTGCAAATATAATTTAATGGGGCAACAATATATGGAGAGCTTATTTTTAGTATTTTGAGGGAGATTTCATCGTATCCAGATGAATTTTTAGGTTTGAGATCTTTGATTATTTTTGCAATCTCCTTAGTCGATGTCCGTTTCAGATCTAGTTTTGGAAAAGGTTTCTTAAAGGCTTTGAAAAGGTAGTCCATACAGTTCTTATCAGGAATATCATTCCTATTTATATTAGATCTTATTTTATCTACTACAGAGAGAAAATAATTCTGGAAAACATCAGCTATATCACTGCGCTTTTCTCTTGGAGTCTCTGAATTATATGCATCTATGAATTGCAATAATCTATTGTCTGATTTTTTCCCTGTTATGGTTTTAACAATTTTCCACGCCATTACCATTTTATTACTTGAATTAGTTATTAGTCTATCATAATTAAGTTTTTTTGCTGCTTTTATTACCTCTGTTAAAGTTCTACAGTATAAATTATAATGCTTCTTTAGATTATTATCCTTATGATTCCTACAATGTAAATAAAGTTCTCTCTTATGTTGACACGAGACTTTTATACCAGTAGTTATCCAATTATTATTTTTAAACTTATCTCTTGTTATTTTTTTTAATGGGAAACTGGTATAGAAGACTCTCAAATAAGTGTTCAGAAAGGTATTAAATCCAATATCGACATCCTCACTATTAAATGTGTCCTCCCATGCTTCATAACTTAGGTTTATTTTGAATTCAAACATGGAGTAGTTATTAATGTTCCTTAACGTTATGCGTGACTGGTTGTAATATTGCTTACCCATATTCTTTATTATTAATAACTGGCCGTCATGATCCGATAAACCGTTAACAATAGAATGAACTGAGTAATTCTTATACTGAGATGGATCAATAAATATATTGTCAATTAGTGATTCGCAACCATGATGACTTCTGGTGGGGAAATCAACAACAGATACAAGATTATATGATGACAGAATATCATCCAGTTGTTGTTTCATATGAGTTTCCTTTAAATAATTAATATTAATGTCACCACATACTATTATTTTCACTTTAGGGTTAAATATCATTCTTAAAGCATTATCTAATTTTTGTAAGAACTGAGAAAAGTTTCCTGATGGAGCCCTATACACAGCTACTATATATATGATATGTGTAATTAATTGTGTCTTTAGAGCACACATTTCAACCGTTCTTTCAATGCAAAATTTATCCATATTCACATAAGAATAACTTATGGAATTATGCACATAAATCGCTACACCACCCATTCTAAAATTTTTCCTACAATATAATGCCCCCCTCTCATATTGGTCAATATTGATATATTCGGCTTCAAGGGAATTTAAATGATGTTCGGTTAAACAAATTACCTGAGGCCCACCAGAGTGTAATGAACTTGATAACTCCTCTATTTTATTCCTCAATCCTCTAATATTCTGATGAAAAACTCTAAATTCAGTAGTCTTGTCATACAATAAGTGCCGATCTTTACACTGTTTACCTTTATCTGGTGGTCTACTTCTTTTGTCAACAATATCATTAGAATTAAAATGAGTTGGATTCCTACTGTCTCTATGAGGGTTTACCATAAAAAATCATCAATCCTAGTTACAGGTAGCCTCTTTTGCCTAGTAGAAGTTCTACATGCTTTGCTCTTTTCTATTACCAGTTGTTGATGTTTATCTTGATCTTCCCTTTCTTGATTAACTACTACTGACTTGTCCCCCAAGGTTGCCAATTCAATCCACTTCAGGTTAGTCATAAGTTGCGGCTCCTCCTGTAATATTATCTTAATTTTCTGGCACAAGAGTTTTACGGCTTGCGCTTTCCCCCATTTATTCCAATGCAGTCCAATGCATGCATATATAACTGGTCCCACTTTGACAATTTACTTCTCTGTCATTTCAAGATTTCTACACATCTTTGATAAAGCTGTGTTAATTATCTTCAATAAATTCTGTAACAGTTTTTATCATTCAAATTCATTATAAAAATGTCTGATGATAACTTCCTATGTCACATTATGCACTCACCTAAAATGTATCTCTATTTCAAATAAATAAGTAAGACACTTATCCGTTGCAGAATATTTTTGAATTGTCTTCCAATATATAGAATTTAAGCGAAGTAACTGTTAAAACATATGCCACTTTAACTATACATCTACATAACAGTACTATATACAGGAAAACATTCCAACTAACAAACTACATGGATGCAACTTCTTCTTGAGAAGCCAATACTCATGCAGTCACCAAGAACTTCCCTGCCTAAATGTTTGTTATATTTAATACATTTTTCACAAAATGTGTCTGACCTTCCTATAGAGTTTTAATTGTAACTTCAAATAGCACTACCCCTTACTTTCCATCAGTAAAAATTAAGAAAGCTATGAAACTGGAGTACATAGTTATTAACTGAATGAAAATGGCCTACAATTAATTCACATATTAATAGGGAAATTATGGTGAAAGAGTACAGAACAGATCAGTGAAACATTCTTGCTTCTCATTCATCGCGGTTTTTTCTATGGTATAGATATACATGAACACGCAGACTGTTCTTGTTCTTGGCAATACGGCCACAGATGGAACAGCTGAATGGTCCTCGATCATCTCCATGTTCATTCTTGGCATGTACCAACATGTTGGCTTTGCTCACAAATGTGCGGGGACATAAAGGACATCGTAAAGGGGCACGACCACCTACGCCCACAGCCACTGCAACTGTCAGACAGAAAAAGAAACCAACAACATACATATATGTATAAATTTGTGTATTAATTCTGAGATTATCCTATGAACAATTTTATATGGAATAAACTCCACTGATCACCAACAAATGGACCAAAGTCACAAACAACTCTCATGTGGTGTCTGATATTACCCATAAGATAAAGTTTCAGTTTCCTACATTCACAGTGTTAAAGACTTCCAAAATAGGATTCTATATTCCAGTTCATGAAAAATCACAATATGAGTTAAGAGTTAAGCCTGGAAAAAAATATTACAACATCCCAACAAAGAAAATCTCTGTTTAGTCAGTCTCGTAACTCTTACCATTACTAAATACACATTACAATCCAATCATAAGAGATTCATTTAATCATATTAAGAACATGGTATTAGCAATGAAATGTAATTAAAACTGTCTAGCAGTTTTGTAAAAGAATGCAAAGTAAATTAAATCAAACATCATATGGTGTTAAAGCTAGTAAGAGGAATTTATGACCAGAAACATGGATTAATGCTGGAAATTTCATTAAGGTTGAAATATACTGTATGGAACCATATAAAGAAATCAAATCATGTGGCTGTGCAATTATATGAATGAATAAAAAGTATAGGATGGGCTGTAATATACACACACTCTGCAAACATATTAAACTCGGTTTTTATTATGAGTACCTTCAGGTTGCATGTGAGCTGAGGTTCAGTGAAATATATATAAATGGCTGGATTGATCATACATACAAAAGCCTAAGTTATAAGCATATATAAACAAACTTCATGCATTTTTTTACATAATCTGAATATTTAAAAACAAGAAAAAATATTTTCTGAAACAGTAGTGTTACTGAATAGATCTGCAACAACAGATGTGTCTACAATTGTCACTCTTGAATAGGCACAATACATAATAACATGGTACATGAATACTTATAGGCAATGAAGTGAGAAACTGACTACCACCACAGTAAACACATGAATTCTAAAAGTTTTGTTATATATTCCACTTCTTAATTTCAACAAAAAATACAATTAATAACAATGTAAAACAACTGTGATATAAAGAAAGCAGTCTTCTGGGATGAGGCACCATGTAGATGTGGTGTTAACCGATGTTTCGGAGGAACATATCGCCTACATCTTCAGGGTATAAGAAAAATAAGAAAATCTGCTAGTGAAGAGACAGCAGATTTTCTTATTTTTCTTTCTACCCTGAAGATGTAGGTGATACGTTCCTCCGAAATGTTGGTTCACACATCTACACGGTGCCACATCCCAGAAGACTGCTTTCTTCATAGTCATCGCCGTGAAAACCTCAAATCTTACATACTGTTATATAACTATATAAACACTGTCCGTTGCATGGAAATGGCTCAACAAACAAGCAAGCCAACATTATGTCATGGCCCTCAACAATAACAGAAGAACTGCTGCGAACGGCGTTTTTCTTGCGATCCATGACAAGGCTATATAAAGACAGCCTCATATATTAAGGCATAACCCGCTGCAAAAGCCTGCATTGACAGAAAACCTCTGTATATCTTACAGAGATACTGGGTTTTCAGACTTTGTCCATTGTCAAGATTCTAAATAACTAAGAAAAAAAGTTTCGGAAACTGGATCTGTTTCCGTTAGGTGAGGGAAAACACCTACCCTGTTGGGTCTCTTAGAAAGAGCTAGCCTCAATCACTAGTCCTCACCTGAGGACAGAAACAGATACACTTTCCAAAACGTTTTTTTCCCTTAGTTATTTAGAATCTGGATGATGGACAAAGTCCAAAAACCCAGTATCTCCATGTGTTATACACCATCATCAGAACTCTACAGTATCTATCTGTATATCTTGTATAAATGTTACTTGGTATAGGGCAGTGACAAAGAATACACAGATTCCACTGTGACCCGATTGCCATTACAGCAGAGATAAACTCATGCTGAAACTATGGTGTAACAAATATAGCACCTACATACAAAGAGGAAGAGACGGCCCAATTTTGAAATAAGTACATGTCTAGGGGAGAATAAAAATCTTGGTCATGGATTTTGTGGAGAGTGAAGCCAGGAATGACTGTGCTGGCAAAGGCCTGCAGCAATTTAATGGCCAACCAACCAACCAAACTTGACTAGTTTCAGAATTCCTTATGTGTATGACTCCATAACCAAATTGTACAGGACACATGTAGAAATAACCCTATACCATGGAAATCCAAATATATATGGTATTGGAAAAGGATAAGCCATGCGCAGGAAGTAAAAGAGGCTTAAACTTGGTGGTGGTCAGGCCTATGATTATTCAGCTGACTACCTGCAGCTTCAGAGGAGTTAAATAAGGTATAACCTATTGCACAAGCCTGCACTGACAGAAAACTTCTGTATATCTTTTACAAACGTTGCTTAGTATAGGACAGTGACAAAGGGTGCACAGAGTCCATACTGACCTGAACGCTGTGACAGCGCGGATAAACTCATTTGTGCAACAAATGTAGCACCTACACAAAAAGAGCCAACCCCTCCCTCATTGAAGAGAAAGCCCCATTCCTACACATGTACATGTATAGGAGAGAACAAAATTCTTGGTCATGGATCTCGAAGAGACTGAAGCCAGGAATGACTGCTGGCCAGGGTCAGGAGCAGTCATCAGTAGAAGTTGAGAGCCAGTGAGTAGTCAATGTTGGCTAGTGATGCCATGAGTTGCAGCTGAGAAAGAACTGTATGCCTGTTGTCATCCAGTGAGAATTTGAGCACTGAAGCAGAAGAACCTCTATGGTTGGCAGCAGTAACCCAGTGACGTCTTGTGAAGAAGGTAACAGAGCAACAACTTGTGAAGGCCATAACAGACTTAGCAGGTGCTATAGTTATTTGTAAAGTGTGTAGGTTAGTGAGACTGTTATAGTTACTTGTAGTTATGAGTCATAAATGTTCAATAAATCCAATTATCAATCAAAAACCCGTGTCTAGTCATTAACATATAACAATACAAAACCCTTAGTACTTGTAAATTTTTGCAGTTACAAATGTCCAATACACTTCTAATGAACACAAAAGAAGAGAAGTCAGTAGCTTTGCAACAGTGCAATATTATTTTTGTATTACTAGTGTCGAGAATGAGATATCTTGCATCATCTCAGTTCAGAAAAACATCTGAATCCAATTGACCATGGTACTAATAATCTCTGAGAATATGTAAATAGATTGAAATCTATACCTACTGCAACATGATGAAGAAGAAAGAAAATGAAAAAGAAAAAGGACACCAAATGCTGGAATATATATAAATAAGCTTACTTTTAAATTAATCTAATATTCTTTGCAATATATGCAGTTTAATGCATGCTGACCCAACAGTACAAAATGTAGAGTGTGACAGATAAGACACACATCTTAATTCCACTCTGATCGTTCTGCAGTTCAGTCAAAGCTCCTGTCACTAGATTACATTAGTATAAATATTACTTCCAGTGTCAAAGGAAATACTGCTACCCACAACTGGCTGCCAAGTCACAGTAATATAAACACTGTACCTTGCGCAGAGAAAGTTCCACAAGCATATTCAGCATATCTTCCTTGGCTTTCGATAGTCAGACAGACGCAAAGAGTTCAGCCACACTGAACATTACAAGCATATGAAATATCAGACATTCTTTACAAAACAAAAAAGAATGCCATATGTGGAGGTCATGCTCACTCATCTGTTACCTAGTTATCAGCATCTAACTATTAGACATATTTTCTTAAAAATTTTATATGAGACCTTCCCTAAAAGTTGTTGGGCGATTCCAATCTTTTGCTATACTGAGCCATAATAAAGACTGGTTTATATAAGGCACAAATGGATTTACCAATATTCTCTTTAACCAAAATATCATGAAACTGTAATATCAAAAGATAACATGTTACATTCTTGAAACATCAAATACAACAAAGACAAAGAGTCCAATGACTAATGTCTGTCCTTCTACCTGGGATGAAATTCCTATTTGCATGAGTACAATGTACTTAGTTCTTGAAAATTCTTCTTAATTTCCTCATGGATTATACAACTAAATGTCTAAAGGTATCAAGGTTTCAAGGTAGAATATGGACACCTAATTCATAATTCTTGTTGTCTTGTCACATTCACAATGTGTACAGTATATCACAATTTGTAAAAAATCTGTTAAACAGTATGTTCAGCATTACTTTGAGTCTCAATATAGCAAAATTATTCTCTCTTAAACCTTTCATAGCTTTACTGAGAATCACAAATTACAAAGGTCTATCTATCAGTCCAAATTCTTTCTTTACTCCTCATTACAACTTCTGGAATAAAATTTAAAATAAATTATTCTTGCTGTAGTGAGAATACAGCATTTTTAGCAAAACCATTTAGCACTATTCAGTATCCATCATGTATCCAACCATTCTTTCACTAGTCACATGATGGCTGGAACAAACCAATGTTAAGACGAAGTGTGAATTTATGCAGTACGGTGGTGGTTAGCTATATGCTTGCGCATACTCTCAGAATTCTTGGACCACTGCGCACAAAATATACACTGAAATGGTCCACGATCTTCACCATGCAGATTACGTGCATGCACCTTCATGTCATGATTTCTTGTGAATGTCTTGTAACACACAGGGCATGGAACTGGCCCAATTTTTCGTGTCAGTGTTCGCCGCCTCCCTGCAACAACACCAGCATTATCATAGTCAGCCCAAGTGCCAACTCACAGGGACCACTTACTCAGTACTCTCTGTAAGACTTTGTATCAGTATGATACACATAAAGGCCATGCTATACTGATATAAAGAAGAATAATTACTGTACAGCTTCACTTAGCAAACTACATACAACCGAATACTGTTGAAGTACTTATAGCATTTTGTTTCCTCTTTACTTGGTTCATAACAGAAACAAGATGTGAAGTACAGAGTGATATATCAATGAAGCATGAAAACTATAATTCTACAAACTGCACAACACCATTACTTGAAGATTCCATTAATCACACTTGAGAAGGTTTTTCATTAATTTGATTTTATGTGCTATTCAGGATGGTCTGTAGAAGGCTGTGCATTCCACAGTGCTGATAAATGAATTACAATATTACTAAGTAAATTGGAAATGTGTTTGTTATGAAAGACTTAAAATATTAATAAGCAGACATTTCCAAAATTAACAGAAAGTTGCCAACAGATCTAAAACAATTCAAAATTGTACCAAATTATAAGGAGGGTGATACAACTGACTGTAGTACTATCAAGGCATGCCACTGTTATCAACTACATACAAAATTTAATTGTGCACTTCAGCGTAACAGATGAACTACTGAAGAGCTCTATCTTCTGGGATACAACACCGTGTAGTCAATTAAGCGTCAACCAACATTCCACTGTCAGCCCTGCTGACAATCTGACAATGTGTTTACCTGAGAGTGCAAGATATTCATAAAAATTCGCTTATTCAAGTACCATGACAGGCCACATCTACTAGTATCGTTGAAGAGTGTAATTTTATTCTCATACTTTGATAATTAGCCCACATAAATGTAAAATAATGGTTGGTGGGGGGTGGGGGTGTAAAGTTGTTCCTGTGTTTAAGCAACATGCCATAAAGACATATGAGGGAGTGGAGACACTGTTCCAGTCATTCTTAAACTTGACACTGGAGAGGAGAGAGGCTAGCTTCATACCCCAGCTGTTTTACCTTCTTACTCACTTTACAGGAAGTTGGGCATGGTGGTGAAATCAAAAAAGACCCTGCCTGCACTGGGGACTGAATCCTGGTGACGCAGCCCACAGCCTCTCACAGCAGTTACAGCTTTCACATTCATTCAAAGCTATTCATAGGAAGTGAACACATTATTCTCACATAATACAGAATATAACTAACAGATGAGTTAACATTTCTGTTAAAATTCATATTATAATGCATCCCATACATGATGTAATTGCCACACTACTATACTGGATCAAATAATAATGTAACATGTTATATGTTGTCCATCGCCGAGCAACGGCCACAATGGAAATTGTCAAGTTGAATACCAAAAGACACTTGCCTAGGAAGAACCGTGGCAACAAGTTATTGAAACAGTGGAATAATGCATTTCCACGGTAATAAACACAGAACACGTGAAAACGAACCCTGGGAGGTGCTCTCTATTGAGTCCGAAACCAGCCTATAAAAAGGGTTAATGCATTCGCTGAGACACAGTTGAGATCCAGCCATGGCCAAGGACAGTTGAGAGGTCGCAGCCGCAGAAGGCAGTAGAAGTATTGAAGTAGAGGCAGTAGTTGTGATACTGCAAATGATAGTAATTGTATTCCTGACTCTAAGTAAGTGTGGATGAATGAGTTCAATAAATAATTGTTGAATCCAAAGGCTATGCGAATTTACATGTTGCGTGATATACACTACATGTGACAATATAATAACTATACTTAATATTTTTTTTTGTTCTATGTTTATATTTATGGACTATGGACATTTGAAAGTAAAGAAATATGGCTTCACTTTGAAAAGGTAATTTATTAACACAGCTACTGACAAACACTGCATAATGTACATACAGAAAAATACTGATGCTTATAACTTAACTCAGGTTGTATAGAATAAGGCACATTGCAGGATTACAATGAAAAATTGACATTAAAATTCGAAATTCATTACAATAAAAACTTCAAATTCAACATAAATCTTATAGATTATGTACACTTCTTTGTAAGATCTATGAGAATTACATGAAGTGGCAGAACAATACATATTACATACAAATGATAAATGAAACGTTTTGAGCAAGATGAAACCAAAATTAGGAGTAACTCATGACTAACTGCTGTGGTTTTGCACTGCCAGTTAACAACTGTACACTTCTATTAGCTAGTGGTATGCAACAGAAGTTATGAACGTTCACTTTCACGTGAAATGATACTTCATACAATATTAAGAAAAAGTAGTTTAAGTTTTGAGATGTCAAACTTCTTCTTTAATGTAATACATAAATAGAGTGATTATAAATATTTATTTATTTCGTCTCTATAGGTCACTGTTACATGATATAGGACAAGTTAGTTACTGTACATTGGTGGATTACAATAAGAGAGTAAAGTTACAATACTTACAATTTTTTACAATAGATTACAGTAGGTTACAATAGTTAGAGTTTGTACAGTGTGAGGTGGAATCCATATTAGGTCCCCTCGGCCTGTCAGCCTCCATATACTTAACGTTTCTGTTCAACTGCGCACACTGAATACTAAAAAACGAACATGCACTAAATAACAACAATATTATTTTGTAAAAAAGCAGTAACATTAAAAGTTAGGATAAGATACAGCAATTCCTGTGTATGGTAAAGACAAAACTGTCCCTGTGCTTATTTAATTACATACAATGCCATGAAGACATATGAGGGAGTGGAGGCATTGCGCCACCATTCTTGACCTTGGCACTAAATTGGCAGTGAGTAGTCAGCTTCATGGTTTGGCTGTTTTACCTCTGGGGAAAGAGGCTCCAGTACCCACTGGATAGGAGGATTGATTGGATTCCGTGGAGTATAGAAAAACATCTTGCTTGTGCCAGGCACTGAACCCCAGCCCACTGCCCACTGTCATACTGACTGAGCTATCATGGCTCCATAAGATATATGGGGAACTGGAAATATATCTACATGCATTGATAACCTTGGTACAAGGGAGAGTCAGTAAATAGGTCATAAATGGATGCAAAACATAAAACATATGATATCTGAACTTGGAAAAAATAGTTATTTCTTAACATGACCTCCACGAACATTGATACCCTTGTCCCATTGCTTTACCAGTGTCGTCCTAGCCATTTCCACACCTCTGTTTCAAGCTCTTTGTCATCAGCGAAATGTTTGCCACCAAGGTGGTCTTTTAGCATACCAAACAGATGGAAGCCACCAGAGGAAAAGTCTGGGCTGTAATGCAGATGTTCAATAAGTTCCCACTGTAATTCTTGAATTCTCTCCTGGGATGCTCAGGTTGTATGGGGTCTGGCATTATTATGATGAAGCAGTACCCCTCTTGCCAGTTGGCCTGGATGTTTTCTGCGAATTTTATCTCTAAGCTTCAACAGAACTTCATAGTGCGATGCAGAATTCACATTTTCACTATTCTTCCGAAAAAGGATTAACAGTACTCCCTGAGAATCCCAAAACAAGGTAAGCATAAGCTTCCCAGCTGATGGCACAACTGTAACCTTAAACTTTTTGGTTGAAGGCGAACTGGGATGTTTTCATTGCATTGAAGCACACTTTGGTTTGAGTTGGTAGTGAAACACCCACAATTCATCCCCAGTAACAATCCTGTTAAGCATATATTCTCGTTCATCAGTAACAATCCTGTTAAGCATATCTTCTCCTTCATCTGCATACTCATACCGTAAGAGATATTGCATGGACAGACCCATTCGGTTACTTTTTTTTTTTTTGAGCATTCAGTTCTCTGGGCACCTACCATGCACAAACTTTCCTTAACTTCAAATGATCATGCTTTATTCTGTATGCTAAACCATGGGAACACCTTAGTGCAGTTGCTACACTGTTTATTATCATCCTCCTGTCAGCTCAAATCAATTCTTCCACCCACTGCACATTTGCTTCTGTCACAATCTCATCAGGGCGACCTCTTTGGGCATCATCTGTGGCGACTTTTGAATGTCCTTCAATGAATTTCTCCACCCAGCTATGAACCACTTTACAAGACAAACACTTCCCACAATAAACAGGAAACATTTCTTTATGAATATCCTTTGCATTGAGTCCTTTTTCATACAAAAAGCACTCAACTGAATGCTGCTCTTCAATAGTACACACCTCAAGAACAATCATCATTTTAACCACCGAACCCAGCCTCCGAACATGCACACGGGTGCCTGCTACATAGACTGTCATGAAGCTGGACTGTGCTGCTACCTATAGAAAACCTATTATGTCCATTACAGCTGTTTTACTTCCATTTATGACTTATTTACTGACTCTACCTCAACTAAGAGGTGTGGTCATATCCACACTGGAACCTTTACCCCTAGGATAAGAGCCATAAGAGCCCTCAATGTCCCATTGGACAGGAGAGAGAGTGGGACTAAGAATTGGTCTGGATGTGACAGCAAAGGTTCTAGTTTTAGTAAACAGCATTTTATAGTTACAATGTGACATAAGAACTCATGCACATCTGATTCCAAATATGCTACTAAGATATCAAATTCCTGGTCATGAGTTGTGAGGCTGAATGTTTTTCTTTAATTTTTATTTTCAGACAGACAACAGCAGAATGGATGAAATTTGTGAAGGAAACAATATGACACAAAATTTATGATCAATGAGTACTTACAAGAAAACTGGGCCAGAACTGTGGGGCAAATACACAATAAAGCAAAGAAGAAACAAACTATTCCTAATTTTAGTAACTTGTCTGTTCTTAAAAGGTCTGTAAAGAAGTTAATTTCAAAAAATAACTGATGTTGCTTTCGTCACTCTATTATCACAAGTACTGTATTAAAAATTATGTACAAAATTTTGGCCCCTGTCAATTGGATTTTTCTTCAATCTGACACCATTATAATTAATCTTCCACCTTTCTATTCTTCCTACATCATTTCATGACTATGCTTTTGTAACATCTGAGTTATGTACAGAAAATAACTGTAAAATCTAT